CTGATCTTATACCTTTGTTTCTGATGGAGAATCGTTAGATGTGACATTCGAAGGGACCTGAAGAAAGTAACAAAAACCATTAAGAAAACGAGAGAAAGATATGGCGTTCTAATTTTTTTGCACTAGAGGCATGTGAACATTGGAAGATTGGAACACTAGGGGAGCAATTGATTGCTTATTCGAATCATTCTTAGAGGATATCAGAATAGTGGAAAATCAAACATCCAAACCTATCCATGCATACGCTGTCTCGAGTAAACAGTAAAAAGACTCAGATTAGTTAAGAATTACTGACATCAGTGCGACTCATGGGTCTTTTCATACGGACTTCATTAATTGCTTCAGAGATGCTACCCGCGGCTAAACCTGAATATTGACGAAAGATGTCACCTTTGGGCTCAAATAAAACCTATCAGAAACTGAAGGAAAGCTGGTATCACTCACTTTTCTGTACTGAGGATTGTGGAACATTTGTGTCATGCATGCCCCAACTGCCCTGAACATAAAATAGACAACATTATTGACGTTTCTTGATGCAGAAACAGAAAAAACCTAAACAGTCATGTGCCTCAGTTTGCATTACCTTTGCAAAGTAATCATCCAACGGGTCATAAAATGTCGGCCCCACCACCTCTGGAGGTTGAAGGACGTTATGGAAAAAAATATTTATTGAATCAAAGTAGAATTGAGGCCGTGGAGAGTTGTGGTCTCCCTCAAACTTGATGATATTTTTGTCGCCCTACCATAATCATAAGCCAGATGTTTATACCAAAAGCTGGCGGAAGAGAACATATAAGCTGAACATGCACAAAATGAAGGCAGGCTATCAAGAATTGGAAACTTACTACATAGGCTTCATATATACGATCTGAATGATGAGGGCGGATAAAGTCATCATCTAAGGCATGTCCAAATAACACCGGGACAAAACTAGACTTTGCCACCTGCAGCATGAAAATAAAAAAATAAGCTGGATATATTTTTCATTCGACAACTTTCCTAACCAGTAGAATAATCATGACAAGCCACGATACTGCTGTGTGTTATTGTATATATTAGACCATCTATGAATTCAAGTACGAAAGAGGGACAAACAAGTAGAGAATACGACCTTAATGGTGTTCAGTTCCATTATATCAAACTTTGCTTTCTTCTGAATAGCTCTCCGCATAAACTGTATTGCAAATTTCACCTGAATACACAGTAGAGAGAGCTTAAAACCATAAAATAAAAGCCAAACGGAAGCCTTGCACTAGACAGAATCAATCCCACCAGAAACAATATAAATTTACTTACAGTAAACTTCGGTAGACGAAACTTATATGTATCAACAAGTTCCATCATCAGATCAACCAAATCGGAGAAGGGGCTGTCAAGAATCATCCCTGCAATCGAAGGATCCTCGGCTCCATACATCAAGCTGGTAAAAAAAATGGATGATTAAACACAACGGTATCATAGCTTAGCAGGCAGCACAAGTGATTCAATAATAAATTGCTTATCAAAACTTCATTTAATCTCTTATGGTGGTTCACATATTTTTGTGATAGCTATGGTTGATCGCTGGCAAGTATCACAGCACCTATGCTACCCTCTAAAACAAATGAAAGTTTCACAGCATAAACATATATCAGTAAGATTAACTTCCATAAACATAGTCCCATACCATTAACCGAAAGTTCATGCAAGAGTCAAGACAGAAATATGAATATGTTCTTCTTATAATAATAATTATAGACTGGACCGAACCTAGTAACAGCACCCATTGAACGCCCCCATAACCCAATCAGGGATATATTTCCATCCTGCCGCAAAAACTCAACCACAGCCTTCAGATCATCCTTCTGCAAGCACTCACATCAGGTTTAACACTAGTAAGAAGAATGATCACAAATAATAAAGAATAATTTAAACAGTGACTTCATGGGTGAAGGAAAATACATAGAGAATATGGTCAAAGATCATAACCTACAGTCTAAACATGAATTAGAGTTTACAGAGCCTCCAATCAAATGAAATATGTCTTCATATAAATGACAATAGGGTACCTCTATAGACGATAGCAAAATCATATTGGTTTACATGGGTATAAAATGGTAAAATGATTGAGAATATTTGGAGAAACATGTTTACTCTAAAGTAAAATCTATCAAACCATATTGGTTTAAATGGGTATAAAATGGAAGACAATGGAGCAAAATTGGACAAACATGTTTATTCTAAAGTTACAATATATTTTAAAGAGTAGAAGAGATAATCGGACTTTTGTCTCCCGGAAATCGAGCTTTTGTCTTTGATAAAGCCGGCACTTGTAAAATATTTGGTCTTTAATAAATATATTCTATCAGTGAAAGAAAAGAAGGAGTACATACTTCGTTCCAGCCTAAGGTGACATGTTCCCCGCCTGAGAGACCAGATCCCGAAAAGTCAAGGGTGAAAACTGTGATGTTTGAAGGCAGCAACACAATGGCGGCTTCACTGCCATCCGCTCTACATCCACTGAATGATAGAATTGCAGTGCCATTAACCAATGCTAAAAATTAAGACGACCAACAGTAAACCAAAAGGCAAAAGGACAACAGGAAATACAAAGTCATATTTCAGATAGTTAACAGCTTCTAACTAGCTAAAAAGATCTTTATCAAACGTTTGAGTACCTGTTTCCATGGCAGTATATTACGCAGGGCAAAGGCTTTCCTTCAGGGCCTTCAACTGGCATGTAATGACTACACTGGAGAATATCTCCCCTACTGTTTTTAACCTGCCAAAGACACATCCGAATAACAAAATAGCTAATGAAATCATTTTTCACTTACTAATTGGGAGTTCACAAATAACTCTGATCAGTTTACTCTTAACCATTATAAGTTCAAGAACTACACACACGCGTCTTACTTCAATAAATTGATTTGACTTTAAAAGAAAAAACAACAGTGGGACCTCCATTGTTACAAACCCCAATTATTGATACAGAAGAATTCATGACAGCTTTACCTCTAAATCCTTTCTCTGATACCATCTACCTTTCATCAAGAACTCCTGTTCCAAGAGATCATGTTCCGGGTCGTACTCAGCTCTGCAACACACACACAAGTCAAATAACAGACTGAATATCCTCTGATGGAACCTCTTAAGTACATAATTCTACCTAATAAAAAGTCACAAATCCTAAATCTTAAACCAAGATAAAACTATAGAGGCTTTCTTGAATTCCTCCAGATATTATAAGAAGATTCAGCATTCATATTATCCGTAGAATCTGAATAGTACGACACAGACATCACGTGGGTACACACACAAAATTGATTCTTTTGGTCAGAAAGGTCAAGTGAGTAGAGAGGATAATATGAATGCAAGTAGAAACAAGACAAAATCGCAAGGTCCACAGATTTTTCTGGCATACATCTAATCAATCAACAAATTCAAGTCATGTACTCTGTAATTCAGTTCATAAACGATTGAATCTAATTCATACGACGAGAATTTGACAAAACCCAGGAAAGGAAAATCGGGAAATCGAAAAATAAAACTCAAAACCCAAATCCCAGTTTTCGCTATGGTAAAGCGGCAAATGGAAAGAGAAAGGTTCACCTTGGAGGTCGAATGATGAAGTTAACAAGCTGCTCCATTGGAGAATCAAAGAAATCACCACCG